TCACGTGGGTGTTTTAGGTATTGCTTTGACCTTATTAAGATCGAGCAGACGCCGATTGACACGACCCCATTTCAATTTATCCTAAGGTAAATCTTGTTTAGCCGTGAATCCGACCTACCTCAGCTGGCAAATCAGCTAGTGATATTTGAGTCCGGCGTTCCGCAGTCTACAAAACTGTTCGTGTCAGTCCAGTCCAGCCTTCCCCAGTCTCCAAAACACTTCGTGTTAGTTGAATCAGTCGGAGGAATACGTTGTACCTTAAAACTATGTAGAAAGATATTTTTCAAACAATATAGTTGCTATCGGCACAGCATTTGTGTGGACAATATTTCCGGTTCACGACGTCACCTTGCGCGAGCAGACATTCTGTTTTGAGAGATACAAATGATTCCCAATGGGAGATTCCTTCTGGAGTATTCCCCAACAGACAACCCATGATAATGAACTTATCATCATAGCTGATACGTGTTATATTGGAATAGCCAACTGTCTGTCGCGAACAACATTATGTTCATGTCGTTACCATGAGATAGTTTAATGTTTATTTATTATGACACCTGCCAGAAAGACCAATTTGGTACATATAGGCATAAAGGCGCGCGACTACATTTCATTTCACAAAACGTTTGTTGAATATTGCATCTTATCCCAATTCAATAGGAATTGGGCAACAGGCGTAATGCCTATACAAGCCCTCTCCTATGGTATGGACAGCGTATATTATAATATATATTTTTATACATTTAGGAAAGAAGTCATCGACCAGAGCTTCCACGCAGTGACTCGTTTATTTAAGTTATTTTTCATATATGCGTTATGGGAGTTCTCTCCCCTACACCACAGAGGTAGATTGTGATACAGATCAGAAACGCATCTCTAGATCTGTTACCTTGATTATTATTGAAAAAAAGGCGTGGTTCGGGCAGAATCTACAAAATAACTTAATATTTATAAGGTTACATGAAAAAATATATCTATAGCTACTCACACGTATACTCCTACACAAACTGGCACTCACTCATATCTTCATTTAAATAACCACATTGGCAAGCTTAACTATCTCTTAGATGATCCTTATAAAGATCTGCATTTAACTGACTGACATATTTCTTAATTGACACAGTATTATGTTTAATTTTCTGTTACCTCCATATTTAAAAGTTTGAACACACGTATCTTCAGCTGTAATAAAAGGTTATGGAGTTGATTACAGTTTATATTTTAGCTGGTTTAGGGAAAAATATTTATGGTATTATTGTTTTATGGTATTATTGTTTTTCAATTTATAAGTACATGTAATATCAGGAAAAAACATTCTAAGATAACGGTTTACTCTAGTTAGCCATGGTTGTCTTATATTAAATATATTATCATCTGGAGTTCTGATCAGAATATCTATTTAATATTGATGTGCATCATGGTGTTTTCTTCTATATATAAAAGAATTAGTTTCTGATCATTTCTTCTCTTCTTTAACGTATCCCACCTAGTTCCCTTGTAGCTAGTTATGTGACTTGTGCCCCGTCTTACACCTGTAGTTATTCTTGCTGTTTAATATACCTTTCTCATTTCGGGATGGACGTAGCACGGAGCGTGGAGACAGAGACCTACATATGTAAACAAGTAAATACGAGGTCATTTCAAAATCAATTTCATATGGATCGGAGCGTATAGGTTATGTCAGAGTGTATGAGTGCCGATGTACGTGATCACAGGTAAGCGAACAGGTAACATCATATGGAGACACAAATAAGAACGTGTGTAACGGGTAACCACAGTCGTTATAGTCTTTTTCGTGGCTCAATTATGCAGGTATGTGACCGTGGTAACTGATATTTCAATATATCCGTTAAGGATCTCACCTGGGAGGTCTATTGTATTTTTCTGACGCCGATAGAGGTATCAGTTGGAAAAAGTTTGTATTTTACCAGAGTGACAGGGATCACATTTGCAGAATAAATTTACCATCCACAAACTTCGTAGGACACGATATTTCCATATTACGAAAGAAATGTTTAACACTTACACGATGTTGTTTTATAATAGCGTTAAGCTGAAGGTACTTGTTCCACACATTTCCGTCACTTCATTCCTTTGCATTTTTGTATAGAGGTGAATGGACAAAATGACGTTTATAAGCATCCCTTCGTGACAAAGTAACGTTTATGAATGTTTCTTCGCAAAAGTAACATGATGGCGACGAAGCAACCTTTATTATTCTGTCATCTATTTAAACACTAGATAGGCTTCACTTTAAGCCATATAAGGAGTGATTTTCTGTATTGACATATATGTTCTTGTTTATGCTCTTGCAAAAAAACAACAGAAGAAAAATAGAAATTTATTCAGTTTTCTGCTATTTTCGACGATAGCTTTCCTGGAACTTCATCCATGCACAACACAACCAAAATATTTAAATATGGGGGTGGGGGTGGGGTGGGGCAAAGACTGTTAGAAGACTGTTCTAAGGATCATTTCAGGGGGGTGAATTTTCGGATTTCTATATTACTGCGATCAACTTTAGCATGCACCGAATCTTTGTTTTCAGTATAAACCATAATTTGAAAAAAAATCCAGTAAGGTGATATTAGCCAAGGGATGTTTATCAGTTGTACATGTTATGAAAATCAAGGGATGTAACTGTAGGTAAGGAACATTAAATATATTTTTTTTAGTGTTTTGTCGCAAGCAGGGGATAGGAATCCTTAATACAGATTAAATAAAAAATGATTTAAAGATGTTCCCTGAATTTACTAACCTCAGTGTCTGTCTCTGACTCTGTCTCTAAATGAGAAATGTCTAATTGTAGGAATTCTAGCAGATTTTCATCTGTTTAAGTGCTGTGGTCCCATATTACACTCGCATATTCAAATATAGGCCTTATACATATTAAATAAATAGCCTCAAGTGATTTTCTATCAAAGTAACCTCAATATATTAATACATTGTACGTTTACATGTTTTTTTCTTCATAAATGTAGTAAATATGGTCTCTCCAGCCACCCAGGTCATTAAATGAAAGACCTAAATGTTTGTGTTGGTTTACATTCTTTATGATAGTGTTATTGAAAATAAAGTTTGGATGAGAAATAGTTTCATTGAATCTTTTACTGACTATTAATGATTCAGTTTTGTTAGGACTGAATAGTATTCCCCATTTCTCTGCCCAGTTTGAAACATTTTCAAGGTCTTGGTTGAGTTGGAAAGCTACCTGAATAGAGTCATTGTTAATTAAAGCATATGCTTATGTGTCATCAGCGAATAATTTAATTTCATATTAAATTTCTTTTTCAAGGTCATTTATGTAAATTAAAAATAAATATGGACCAAGGACAGACTCTTGTGTTAAATTTGACAGGTGGGATATGAGACGCCTTTTAAACTTTTGAGTTAGATTGGTCTGCAGCTATTCATATGTCTTGTTGTCTTGCATGATTGTTGTGACCTTGGCCACATATATAATCGTCGGTGTCCATGACAGCTGTTGCCTTCCCGTTCTTCTTTCGTCATATTACTTGTTAGTAATTTTATTTTGTGGATTTCAAAACCCCCGTCACCTGGGATCTCAGTTGATTAGCCTCAGAATAGCTTAGTTTATTACATGCCTGTTTTGTACGATGGCCGATATGGGCCGGCAGAAAGGTATCATGACTTTATATAAATCTGCCCGGCAGTTTTCTCAGAGAAAAATATGTGGATATAGAGGCAGTCAGTGCCTGTGTCCAGCACTCATCCTATTAAAATGAAGAAAATAATCTGATGATCGTACATAATGTATAGAAGTAAGCACATCCTAAGTTCTCCCAGTAATATTGATAATTTCTCTTTGAAAGGCATTTATTCTGAAAACTGATTATGAAGACAGCGAGAATGAGTTCCCGCTAGTGGGTGATGGCGAATTTACTCTTAATGATTTACGTTATTATTGTTTTAAAATCAATTCATTCCTCCCATTGCTTCGACATCGGGCATCAACCGGGCAGTAAATCTTGTGAGAAATATTAACATTATTACAATGTCACCCCTAATACAATAGGCATTTTCACTTTATTATCTATACTTTAACCCGTACTAAGCTCTAAAAACTGTAGTTGTTCTGTTTATTCTCATCCCCATTTCCAGAGGGTTACTTTTCATACTTTTCAGGACACATTTTTTCTCTAAGAAAACTGCCGGGCAGATTTATATCAAGTCATGATACGTTTCTGCCGGACATATTTTTCTCTGAGAAAACTGCCGAGCAGAGTTATATCAAGTCAAAATACATTTCTGCCGAACATATTTTTCTCTGAGAAAACTGCCGGGCAGATTTATATAAAGTCATGATACATTTCTGCCGGACATATTTGTTCTCTGAGAAAACTGCCGGGCAGATTTATATAAAGTCATGATACATTTCTGCCGGCCCATATCGGCCATCGTAGTTCTGTGACTATAACAAAATCATCAACTAGGATTTTATCTGAAACGATAGCATAGTTGATACCCTTAGCGAGTAACGTTTTCTCGCTACTGGTGAGCTCTTCAAGGCTGTTTAATTTAGTCAAGTGGCATTGTTTAGTTGTGCCGAACGCCCGTTCACCTATTCGCTTCACGTGTTTGTTCATATCACCTACAGTGTCACTCGATAAGCGTTGGTGAGTAATGCAATGTCAAGCTTATATGAGTCTATTTTGTTGTTTACAACTCGTTATCTCTCAAGATATTGCTAGCATTAAGTGTGTTAACTGGGCACCTAATATTCAGACTTGAAGGTGTTATATGCAAGTCACTACATCTCAGCGTAAACACAAGGTGATTTCTATGTCTCGTTAAATACTTATATCATATTACAGCTATTGTACATAGCCGAAATCGACATCGGTTTTGTTGACAACTCGTAAAATATTTAGAAAAAAGTAGCATTTTGTATTGAGTCATTGATATGTAAATAGCGTCAAGTTCCCGTCTGGGTGGCAGCGGTGAGATTGTATGCCCGGGTTAAATGTTATCGCCATTTTTAAAATCAATGCTGTTAACGTTGTAACAGGAAGTTGCTAGACGGACACGATAACACACGCTATTACTACCTTTATCGGACGTTTGTTTACTTAAAATGTTATCATAAACCGTTCTCTACGTCTGCTGTCATCACAAGCTATATTTCGTGTTATTGGAAACAAGTGTCAGAAGAAGTAATGTTTAATGTTTATTCCAATTCCCAATAACAGTAAAACGGTGTCCGTATCATGAATATTTCCAATAGAGGTTCTATGGAGTACGGACGCCATGATGACATTGTTGTCTTCAGTAAGTATACATTTTAGTTGTCATGTGTAATTGATTTGTGCCTATTGTTTTCTTTCTGATTTTCGTTAGATTTGTTTACGTCTCAGCAACAGATACGCCTAAATAACTTGCCTACAGAGTGATACAGTCTTAAGGTCTACTGATCGTTCATAACATTGAAATATTACATACGCATGCAGTTTAAATTTTAAGACGACAAAATGAACATTAAGCGAAACATATGACCTGGTTAGAGACGCGTTATACGATGGTCAGTAGCGGCCGCCACATCTTATATCTAAAGTGTTTATGACTTGTTCATTTACGTTTTTAAAATGTATACATGAACAAATCTTATATCTTATACAGCTAGGAGTAAACTTAACTTGGTAGCCTATTGTACTGGAATCAACAAGTAAAGTGAATTCCCCTGCACTCGCGTCTTTACTAGAGCTAATACTGTAACGCACTGGCGTTCACACCCATGTGCACTGGACTGAACTACAGTGCACGAGCTGATGTTTTTATCATGTTGTGTCTGGTCTTTTTATTAGTTTATACATACTGTAATTTCTCCCCTCTCATTTGCTAAAAAAATAGAATAAAATATTAGATGTTTCCTATTAATGTACTTTAAATATTTAAGCAGTATTCTTTAATGAAAGCAGTATGCGTTAATAAAGAATAGCTATAACACGTGATAACCTAAGTGTACCCTGAATGATTTGTTATATTACGTTACGAAAACAGTTCATATCAAACAATAAAATGCTAAAACATTACCAACTTCGTGATGACCTTCGTTTCCGAGTTATTATGATTTTTCTGGAAAAAAACTCCTTTGCCTCAGAGACGATCGCCTCAATTCGACTGTAGAAATTGTACTTTTTATTATTCAGTTGATCTCTAGAAAATATGATGAACCCCTATATACAACACGAAGCAATTGCTAAAACATTAAGTCAAATTAACGTAAGCCCACCTCAATCCTTTCTTTACAATATTCAGGAGATATACGATTGAAATTGACAGAAAAAAAGCTGTACAATAGTTTATACTCAAAATGAACAGCAACCCGGGTAAATTAACCCCAATTTAAAAACTCGAAACCTTGTGAATAACTTTGTAATATTTGTAACATATGTTGTCATGTATAGTTGCATTAAATATAGGGGTATTGGGATGGGGATACTTTATGTGTTTTATTTTGTATGCAATCCAGAGATTACATTTATTTACATATGCAATACTTTTTGTTACTGATTAGAATGTTAATCGGTATACGGTATAACATATGTGCATATTCAATTTTCAAAAAATGTACATGTACAAGTCATTTACATGTTGATATTAGATATGACGGCCGCTATCGGCCATTGTAGGTAAGATCCAGTATAAAAAAACAAAGGTGAAGTATAGCAGACAGGTAAATAGAAATTAATATCTAAGGATGTACTCTTCTGGGGTTTAAATAACGTTCAAGTCTCGTTTTGATCTGGTGTAACAGTTTTTGTAATATTTTACAAATTATGATCAAGTTTATTAGCAAACACGCATCTGAAAACTATGTCAAAAAACTAAATGCCTGATGTTTGTAGCATTTTTTTACAAGAATTTAAAAAAAGTACCAATTCGGCGGCCATTTTGAAAATGTGTATTGATGTGTATTTCTTGCGCTTCAAAAAAGGCAAAAAAATCACCCTTTTTGACACTAGATTGATCACTTAATTTGTCATTGTGTCGCCATTTTTAATTGTAGCAGGTTCAATTTTGCTGTACAGCTTAATAATGTTTAATATGAAAAAAATAATATGCAACAAACTGAAAATTATACATTATTGATATATTTTTTTTTTTTACATATTTAGTGTAACTAAAGCACTTTTGATTTTTTAACTCCGAAAAAGGTAAAAAATAACACAAATGATAATTGGACAAAAAAGAAGCACACGGACCCCCCGTTTGTGTGGTCGTTTTAGAAAGAGAAACACATTTTCGTTTAATTAATTAAATATTAAAAAAAGTTTAATAGCAGAACTTTTTATATTAAGCGTTTAATCTGCAAAATGTGGTAAAACAATTAGTATTTTGTCATTAAGAAATAGGGGGTAGGGGTAACTTAAATCGGCTTTCTGAGTTAAAAGAATAAGATTAAGAAATTTTACTTCCATTATTTAAAAGAAAATATTTTTTTCATAAATTCAACAAACATTCATACATATCTGATAACACACTTTTTGTATGAATTTGTTCTGCAAATGGTCAAAACCCAAAAATCACCTAAAATCACATGTTGTGTTAAATTGGTATCTTTGACCGATCATAGCACAAAAACGAACACACGGACATCTAATTTTTTTTGCATTTTCCCCTATGCCATTAACTCCTTTTTCTAAAAATCCATATAAGAAAAAAAGTTTAATACAGGATTTTTTAGACTTCTCAGAGATGTACATCCTTAAGATTATTTAAACCAACTATGGTCTGGAGCATCATTTGGCAAGTCAAAATCAAGCTTGTTAAAACATAGGATGTGGCGCCCCTGGCGGAAGGATGATTTGGCCAAATAGGGAAATGGAAATAGATCTTCAGATCCTTCGCCTAATGTTGAGAAGAAGGGATCTAAAGCAAAGGACCTGTTACAGGAACAAAAGAATTTTGCCCACAAAGCAATTTAACCATTACTGGGTTATATTTGTAGCTCCCTAAGACACGACCCTTGAGATATTTTTAAAAAATTAAAAAGGTCCCCAGGGCCTGTGCTATGAACTATTTAGTGCCAACTTCCAAAGGTGTACGACAGGGTTCACTTTTTTGTCCAAAAAACTATGAAAACAATGTTTAACGCTATCAAATAATATTGTATTATTTAAAGTAGGATCTGCTGCAAATTATGAACTCAAAAATGTTACAAAAAATTGCATAATATTTTTTTTATAAAATCTTAAACTCTAAAGATGTTGGTATTTTCATACACTTTTTTGCTACATCAATTGCTTTACGGAAGTAAAACACCAATTTTCAGTTCTTGTACACCAAAAATCTTTTGATATTATTTGGTGCATTATGTTGAGATACGATAGTAAAAATTTCAGAAAATTTGAGAATCGGTAAATTTGTCATATAAATGTCAAATTGTAGCAACATCTATTTCCAAATAAAATCCAACAACCTTATGACCTATAGTCATGTTTGATAATTTAACAATATGTCGCACCAATTTATCATCGCAACTGATCAAATTTTCATCAATAAGATCTGATGCTCATGATGAGCCCAATTATAAAGCTAGATGTTACAAAATAAAAAAGTTATGCAGTCTCACAAATATAAAAGTTTAGTATGATATGTACATTTTTAGTTGTTTCGCATCTTTACGGAAGTGATAGACATATTTCCGGTTTGTGTACACCAACATACTTTGGATATCATTTGGCACATTACGTTGACTGACGATAGCAGAAATTTCGCAAAAATCGGAAAGCGGTAAATGTGTCATCTTAAGGATAATATGTTGTATGACCAATGTCAAAATAAATCTTCAATAACTACAGGTCAATGCAAGTACAGGTAATGTCAAACCTAACTTTTATGTCAATAAATCTTAAATATTTAAAAAAATAAAACATGAGTTTCCTACTTTACGAACCTTGCGATGCTACTTTTGCGAATATTATTTTCAGAACCCTATGGTTCTAACTTATATTTGAAGTACGTGTACTTTTCTATTTATATCTTAAACGTTTATAACCCATTAGTCCGTACAAAAATATAAACATTTTTGGAATTGATACAATTGTACATGATATATGCGTCTGGTTTCGCCTTTAACATTTGAAATTAGAAGACATTAAGATATTGATGGTTTCATGCGTTGGAAGTAAAGGGATACAATTATCATACGGGAGTAATAGGATCGGTTGTGATAATGTTTGGATTAAAATAAATTACATTGTTTTGTAAACAACTTTTTGCATTTGTTATTATCATGTTCTCTTAAATACTCATGAGCTGCATGAATGTGTCGACGCCAGCGAATGTGAATTCCTGTGCTCCTTCAGTTTGTTTTATTTTAGATACTGCGTTCCAAGAAGGTGAGAAGAGCATTCCTTACATGCCTGCTTGTCAGTGTTGTTGTGGTGGTCTTAAATGGATTAATACTCCACGATTCGGATACGTTATCTGTTTATGATGTTTCGAAGTTTACCGAACTGCCTGAGAAACAAATATCTAAAGGAATTTTTATTCATCCAAAATTGAAGTGTAGTAAAAGATGTTTACAAAAGACTGTGATTTTAGTAACAAGTAAAGCGTCAAACACAGTGCAGCAGGAAACAGTACGACAGACATGGGGACATCCAAGAATGCAATCGAAATACAACTTCTGTCTATTTTTCTTGATCGGGAAAGAAAATAATGTGGATGTGAACAACGAAAGTAGTGCGAATGGGGACATTTTACAAGTTAATGTTACCGAGAACTACTACAGCCTCACTTACAAAGTAATGGAAGGTTTCAACTGGGTCACACATTTCTGCTATGAAGCACGTTTCTTTTTCAAAACAGACGATGATGTGTATTTTGACCTGGAATTTCTGAAAGAAATCGAAAAGGACAAAACTTTTCTTTCTGACGATGTTCTTCTTGGTTCATGTAAACGGGGACCTCCTGTAAGCAGAGACACAAGAAAGTATTATACTACCTACGACGAGTATCCTTTTGAATTTTATCCACCATACTGCGGAAGTCCTGGGTATTTCATGACATTGAACACTGCAAGGAAAATATACGGAGAAATGTTGTACACAAAAGCGTTCAAGTTAGAGGACGCGTATTTAGGAATGGTCATTTTTAGGTTAGGTATACCAGTAAAACATGTCGATAATTTCATTTATGCATTAGATAAAATTGATGGATATATGCAATATTTCAGGATCCGCTGTTCGCGAGTCATTAAAGGATTAACAGCCAATAATATCCAACAACTGTGGAATCAACGTAGCTCAATAGGAATTGATAAAAATGACTGTTCCGCATGGGGAAGATTAGGTTACATTGTAAAATATTATAGTAATTATATCATAGGGTCAGGAAAGGATGCCGGCCAGATATCAAACTAAATCAAGAACAATTTCAGTCATTTTTCTTATTTTGAAATGTATTAACACAAAACTATTGTTAGTAATGATAACAAAAGAAGAAAAAGAAGTTTAAATCAGTGCACAAGTCATTGGAGTTTATCAAGCTGGACAGTTATAGAAAGTTTAAATCAGTTATAGAAAGGCCCTCGAAAGGGTTTAATTCTGTTCAGCTTTGTTGGAAAAGTTAAACATGTGATAACCTTGAACGTTGTGTGTATCTGGCTCGTGAATGTGGTGTAGTGCAGATAGTTGGCTCGTGATCATACAGTTTTACTCTGGTTTTACACAACTAAACTACAGTGGGACAGGGATCCTTTAATGAATTCTTTGGGAGTAGTGGCAGTATATACATAAAAATGTGTAAGTACCTGTGTATCGCCTGAGTCCTGACCTATGGCTGATTGGTCTATATAAGGTTTGTAGGTCGAAGTTGATCATGTTTAATAAGATTTCACATATTAAAGATAAAGATATTAAAAAAATACATATATTTTGAATTCATTATTAATGCTTCTTATGTTTGTTTTAAATACAAACGCTAATTGAAAACCTATTTTGGGAGCTTTTGAAAACGTCTGTTTAACCGCCTCTTAATCGCGTTTGTATTCATTACATTTGATTAAATGCCTTACTTTATTTCGTAATATTAAGTTAATACACATTGTTAAAACATTAATATGAAATAGTGATTCGCTTCCAACGTTACACAATTGTTATAACAAGAGTTTCACAGAATGACATTTCTTGGTGTATGATTTTTTGATAAATTACAACAGATATGTGTGAAGTCCTTTACTGCTGGACTGTAGAGCTGAATTTGACTGCTTTGATTTGTATGATTTGTTTTTGAAATATAATGTAAATGTAAATTAAGTATCAAGCATTTGTATAGGGTGATTAGTAAATATCTACCATTACTGAATTTGACAGTTCTTCATATAGTGTGTCTAGTATTTGTATAGTGTGATTAGTAAATACAATGTATTGCTGGATTTGACTTCTATGCATAAATGGTTCTTCCTTGTAATATTCGCATTAAAATGTTATGAGAGAATACATGTTAAAACTTTGAGTTTATGTATCATGTGAACACACATTGACTGATTTTTTATTTGATTTTTTTTTGATTGGCTATTGAACAGATAGTCCAATGTTTATATGTATGCAAAAATATGGACAACTGATTGTCCATCAATTATCTTGTTTTACTAATTTTTGCCCAAAATTACTTCATTTGTTAAATGTCTCATTCACAGAAAAGCTAAAGATCACATGAGATTTTACGTTTAGTTCCTAAACAGAGATTCACTTCTTGTATAGTGATCGTCTCGTGTATAGTGATTTGCGAATTAATCTGTTTTACCATTTTGGACAACTCGGCGAGAACTGTGAAGACTGTGATAGTGCTGACAATTTTTTTTTTTTTATATATTTTTTTAATTATATATTCAATTTGTATGACATAAACATATATATATATATACATACAATGTACATGGGCGTCTAGAATCGCCTTTAAATAATGTACATACTGTTCAAAATATTCTATCAAGTATCAGTATTCGTCATACATATATATTAACAAATAAGTATAAATTCACATTTTTGATATAAAAAAAAACTTCCGGATATTCTTGTCCGTACTCTATTCTTATTATTATTGTATTATAAACTAGTGTCTGATTTCCGGTTAGAAATTTTAAAGGAGCTTTGTAATAGGCTGTACATTGGCTGTATTTGGTGAGGTGAACCCTTCAGTGCCTTTGGTTACCTTTTTTCACTTGTCTAAATAAAAGTAACATTGTAGAGTTATAACACAAAAACATAGCGGTCTGGACTGTTGGTCTTCCACTCTCGACTAAACAGCATCATTGATTATATTCTGTATTAAAGTGTTAACATTTCGTCCTATCGACTTTAACCTGATAAAGTTTGCTGTCACAGTTGTAAATGACAAAACCACTACCAATTGAGGGTTTATATTTGAAATGGTGTCTCCATGTCTCTATTTCAATCTAAATAGTGATACTAAATCGGAATTTTTATTTTTTGAGATCCAGAAAAGCAATATTAATTTTTGTCACCCATCTAATTAGTAGCACTCTTTTTGATTGGATATCTTCCCTGGTTTTAATTGTAGGCATTGCTCTGCTGGGGTCTATAAAAGCAAGTGCAAGGGGAGCTTACTCAGACAAAAATTTCTCGGACACAAACAAGCGTTCGAAGTTTGCCACTACTCATTCAGGGGATGGTACAGAAATCCATAACGACGAAAAATGCCAATGAGGGGGCCGTTAGGGGTGCTGCGTGATTATTTAAAAGAAAGGGGGGGGGGGGAGTCTACGGGCTAGACCCCGTCTAGTCTATATAACCTTTCGGCTCGGGGTTTATTAAGACCAGACGGGAGCTATGAGCGCTTAGACCCCTCCTAACACAGAGATAACTAATAATATGACATTACATACCGAAAGGATGCTTACTGTTAACAAAATGAAAAACCCCAAAGAGTTTTGTTTGTTTGTGTGTGTTTTGTGTTCCGGATTTATCAACGTAAATTACACTACGAAAACGACTTTTCCAATTTTTATAAAGAGACAAGTACAGTTTCTAGTTTCCTGCTATGTGCGTTAAACACCTACCTTGTGTATGACATTTGTGAGCCTCAAACAGCGATTCCCAAACAACCTGAACACCTATCCACATACATTACATGATATACCCAAACTTCCCGTGAGCTCTGGGAAGGTAGTCAGCATTAAGTACAACAAGGTTGGTGGCAGCTGTTGAATAAACAAACGAAATCAAGGTTACTTTCCAAAATTGTAATACAGTTGTGGGACCGCACAACGCACCAAAAATAGCGTGCGCACACCGTGCATACATCGTTCGTGAATTACGTAAGTGCCCCAGGCGGGGAGAAAACTACGGTCCAGGTACATGTACAAAGTGGTTATGTTTACCTGTATACGGGATTGTGTTGTAATTTTACACGTGTCGATTAAGTTTGTTCCCCCACACAGAAAACACAATTTCTAAATATAAGAATGTATAGACAGAAAGATAGGCTTATAGATGTTGCTAGAATTTAGAAACATACGTAAACATCAAGTTTATATGTTTTAACACGAAACCGTATAAATTGTAAAGGCATTCCTTACACCAACCACGATTGTTATCGCACAACGTCCGTCCATCGTGTGCACAGATGTGCGCAAACAATAATCGTCCAGCTTTTTATCGTTGGCCAATCGTGCACACATCGTTCACAAACCGTGCACACATCGTGCGCACACAGCACATCGTGTAACGTTGTGCGAGCTCACAACTGTAAGTTGTATGGCAATCCTTTTGCCCGTCCAATACACATGTTTCCGCAACATGAAATGAAGTGTCTTCAACCTCAGAAATTTCAGTGTCTTAAAACTCAGAAAATGTCTTCAAATCAGACGGTTATTGTCTTAAAGCTTACAAATTCCAGTGTCTTAAAACGTAGAAGTTCAGAGTCTTGAACATAGACTTGTTAGTTTTATCGAAGGTAGAATTGATAAGATTTTTTCTAAATTAACGTTTTTCGTTCAAACACAAAGTAACCACTGTATTCCATAATTGACTCATCCATATCAATGTATGGTAGAGAGCACTAAAGTTACATAGGGGTGAAAGAGTTAATCATAACAGGATTTCGATTCTAAAGCTATGAAACGTTTTAACGACTTCCCACCCTTCGTAATACACATGTTTTTTCTTGTCGTATTTTCGTGTCGTCATTTCCGTATTGCGTATCGGGCATTCCATTACCGTAGTGGAAATTATAGTAACATCGGGTAAACAATAGTACACGTGCGTGACGATGATACATTGTATGTCAACACCCGATATCGAGACTTAACATGGAAATGTGTAATCACGCGTACTTCAGAAATAAAGCTTATGATAGAAAGACATTAATTAATGCAAGTGCATGTGCGTGCTCGTGATAACGGCATACCATGCGATAGCCTATGATTACCTATGTACCTGACATGTTAATATACCATGCGATAGCCTCTGGTTACATATGTACCTGACATGTTAATATACCATGCGAAAGCCTATGGTTACATATGTACCTGACATATAAATATACCATGCGATAGCCTATAGTTACATATGTACATATGTACCTGACGTGTAAATATACCATGCGAGAGCCTCTGGTTACATAAGTACCTGACATGTTAATATACCATGCGATAGTCTATGGTTACATATGTACCTGACATGTTAATATACCATGCGAAAGCCTATGGTTACATATGTACCTGACATATAAATATACCATGCGATAGCCTATAGTTACTTATGTACATATGTACCTGACGTGTAAATATACCATGCGAGAGCCTCTGGTTACATAAGTACCTGACATGTTAATATACCATGCGATAGCCAATGGTTACATATATACCTGACATGTAAATATACCATGCGATAGCCTATGGTTACATATGTTCCTGACGTGTAAATATACATTGTACCATGCGATAGCCTATGGTTGCATATGTACCTGACATGTTAATATACCATGCGAAAGCCTATGGTTACATATGTACCTGACATGTAAATATACCACGCGATAGCCTATGGTTACATATGTACCTGACATGTAAATATACCACGCGATAGCCTATGGTTACATATGTACCTGACATGTGAATATACCATGCGATAGCCTATGGTTACATATGTACCTGACATGTAAATATACCACGCGATAGCCTATGGTTACATATGTACCTGAAATGTAAATATACCATGCGTAAGCGGGCTATGGAATCATGTCCAAAGTGTACATGATTGAGAGTGATTTTGTTCCATAAACGAACAGTAAATTGACAATTTAATATTGTAATATAATTTAAACTGTTTTACCGAGGTAACAATGAGCTACGTTGAACACAGGTCTCGCTTGACTGTCCTGATCAGGGCGGAGGATGCCTCCTAGGAGCTGTAGAGACACTCCGCACATCACGCCAATACCCAACCAACATTCTTTTTTCTGAAGCGTGACTTTCGGAATTGGAATTTAAACCCCATTGCCAATTTTTCTGTTGGGTCTCAAAATTAAGTGTGACATATTCACCACTTTCGTCATTTACAAACCGGAACGAATTATCGCGTAACTGGTGATGGAATGCCATACCTCGCGTCACGAAATGCATCGATAAATTGTACCACTCATATTAACGGAGGATAATAGGACAGGATGGGGCGTGTGAAAGGTACATTATTTAAGTGCTTAATTTTTCCAAATCATCTCGTTCTATAATTTGTTTGTGTTTAACAGGTTTTGATTGTCCCGTGCATGTCCTTTCTTTTAATAGCCCGTCTAAAACGTTAAGCTTTTTTCAATATCCAACCTTAACAATGTCAACATTTCTTTGAAGATCCGCTAGATGTCTGTTTATTCCTGCCCTAATATTTATGAGGGTGCTCCTATTGTACAATTCTTCCGCCAACTTGCGCCTCGCCTCGACGTAAAATTTGCTCAGGGCTGCTGCCAATTTTAAGTGGGAAACCGTCTCCATACTCATGGCCTGCTCATATATTTCTGTGTTCCAATCTAAAATTAAAAAGTGGGATAGGGCTATTATAGTATATAAAAACCGTAGGCTACACTGCCATTCCTTGTTGTCAAAAGAATCTTTCCATTATGTAACATTGAAACGATGTGATTGTTTGTGATTATAAAAAACAACACTTTGTTTCAATAGGTCTAACAGCTTTGTGTTCTTTTAAAAAGTTGTTTTACTAAGTTTACGTGGTGTGAATAAATCATCAAAAGACAACTTTTATTTTAAACTTCAACTCGTGTAAGCCTACCTTAAAATATTCGCAAGGCCCAGCCA